GCGGCGAACAGTGACGCGGCGGCGGCGGACGGTGACGCGGCGGCGGCAAACGCCGCATTCTTCGTCGCGCATCAGAGGACGGTGTCATAGCTGACCGACATTTCCTATCCTATGGCAGCGGACCAGAAGAAAAACATCAGAGGGATACTGCTCCGACTCAGATAAGTTAATAACACGAATCATGAATGACGAATGGCGCAATAAGACGCGACAAGATGCGTTTATGACTCACACATACGGTACGGATCAAGACCAATATATTAATTCGCAGCTGATTCACCGACACCTGGTGAGAAAGCGCACCTAAAATGCAAATGAGATCCTCCGTTTCGCAATATCCGCAGCGACACAACTTCAACTGTCAGTCCAACCAAGCAGTTCTCAACCAGAAATACTGGTGAACACCCCTGCCTACTACGAATCATTACAAACTGTGAGTCTCCGGACTGTTCGCCCACAATAGCGCTATATCATTGGGCTATGTATCTTTTAACACACCGACGTCCGGGAGCACTCACACTCCGGTCGTCAGCTAGTCACCAGTCACCACCACGCCGGTCTCCAGGAACGCCCCGAGCGTGTGGCACGCGCCGCCCGAGCGGTGACCGGTTTGGTGAACAGGTTCGGCAGCTGCTCCGAACGCGGCCGGTCCCGCCGCAGAGGACACGTGGGGCAGTGGAACATCCGAATGGAACGAATGGCAACGGCGCCGGCCGGCGGACGGACAGATTTCGGGGAGCGGCCGGTTCCGTACGGCAGACAGGCAGGGAGGGAGGAGAGGGGTGTGAGGGACACCCGGTTCCGTACTCTAGGCGCGGTCCTAGAGCATGCAGCGGTGACGTAGTGTGCGGATGGAAGGGAGGGGTAAGTGCGTTGAGAATGGGTTAAGTCCCTGAGACCAGACTGATTCCAGTTGTGAACATGTGTTACATGTCACGTAGCTACTTTGATCAAAAATCCAACTCGCCTTCGTCGGTAATACCCTGTGTCCGGTATTCGAGGTCATCGCACATTTCTCCACCACCAAGGCAAGAGACCAAGAAATTGTCGACTGCCGACAGGAGTAATTAATACCTTCGCCTCCGTCCGAAGCAAACCACTAAAAATCAGCCCAGCCTGACTACATCTAACGAGAGAAAACGGAGATGAATCTTCTGTGACCCCCTAAAAATCACTACCTTCATCGACGATCATCAACGAGCCTATCCTCCGCCGCAACCGCAGCTTAAGACCCTCCACAAAAAGGGATTCCTTTCATCCGCGCTCATCCCGGACCCAGCCGAGGATCACCATCACCGCCTCTCACTTATCACAGCCGTTCACCGCTCAGCCGCGCACCAGCTCTAAACCCTAACCACTACCACGGGACGGCCGCACTTCTATCCTATCGGCCCTCCATCTGAGGCGCCTGTCGATGCGGGACAAACCTCGACAAACCCGTGTCGAAGGTCACGCGTGGCTCGGCCAGCGGAGAGCGTTCACTGGCGGTGGAAAGTCCTGAAAGGATCAGAGGGGCGCCGGGTGAATCGCATTAGCGGTGCAGGAGAACGTCCCCGTACTAGAACGGTGGAGGCACGACAGAACACAATGTGAGAGAAGGGTATGGCGCGGTGGCTGCCATCAGCACTGGCAGTGATCAGGATACAAGGATAAAAAAGGTGGGCGTAGCTCGACATCGGTTTTCGAATTCAGTGCCGTGCTTCGATGGTTTCCCGCACTTCCCGATCAACAAACAAACGAAAAATCGTTAAGCGACACACCTGGGCCCCCATAGGCGCGGGAGCCGGGGGGCAGTGGGGGCAGCTTGCCCCCCAACTCTGGGGCCGTGGGTACCCCCACAGCTTTGAGACGGAATACCACACTTTTTTTGCAAATGCTTTCTTTTTGTTGAAAAAGCTAAGGGATGAAAAATAAGTGGCCTAAAACCAGTCAGAAAATTAGATATGGGGGTACCCTAGGTTGATCTCTATTATGGTGTGCCCCCCCCCCCCCAGTCTGAAAGTAGTTCCCGCGCCCCTGTGGCCCCCAGCCGGGGGCATCCGGCAAACACGTCAGGATCGCTGCCACCACGGCGCAAACGACACGGCGTCTCAGGATCGCCACACCCGAGCCCACAAACGACACTACGAGCCAGAATAGTCGCACAGGCGCGCCACAGGGCTACTCCTGTCCGCATTCATGCCGCGAACGCCGCGGTGCGCCAGAAACGTCCGAGGCACGCGAGTCGAGACACTCGCCGTGCCAGAATGGTCTCAAATCCGTACTGCAAACGACCTGGCGCGCCAAAATCGTCCCTAGACATGCGTCTTAAATTGCTCGCGGTACTAGAGCCAACAAAACCGGTTGCGTGGTGAGGTGAGGTAGCCTTAGCAAAATGTCAGAGATGGCAGCTATTTTGAGCCCGTGTCTGATGTGTGTTACAATCCCTGAGTAGCGGTTTGGTTATGATTTAGTGTCTCCTAAGTGGATTGGATTGGCGTCGAGGTGCTCATCAAATTACGTTAACTTCGGTTATCGCTTTGGAGCGACTAAAATAGTCCACTCGTTAACTTGATAGCATCCAGGTGAGCGACTACTGCAAACAGTCAGCTCTTTGACCAACACAAACTGCTAGCAGGCTGAACAATACACACAAGCAGGCTGAACAATACACACAAGTCAGCGGGTCACTGCGAGTGCATGACCCGCAGTAACCTGTCGCCTGACAGGCCGGTCCGTGACGGCGTTATCGTCGCCCGGACCGGAACTGGGAAACCTCGGTTCAACAGCGGCAGAGATGACAATCGCAAACGGTGAAAGTCTGCAACGGAAGGTCTCGCCGGACTGCGAGCTGAGAGAGAACGCTGCGGGAGCCTATTGCTCATCTACCGGAATGCAGAACACCCACGTGTAGCTAGTAGCTACCTATCTACACATCCCGAAGTCACCACGAATCTACAGATGTGGCGGTAATTAGACGGGATTTAAATGACACATCCCTTTCTCCGGTAATACTTTGAACGATGCCGGGAGACCGCAAGCCAAGGCGGCACGGGACGAATAATCCACACTGTGGCGACGGCACTGACAGGTCGGGCAGCCAATACTGGGTCTGACCGCTTCGCAGGCCTGCAGTGCCAAGAATGTGAGGAAAATATTTGCAGCATTTCGCTCTGTCCGTGACGGTGTTCGGGTTGTCCCCAGTGCAAGTTCCCTGCATGATCCATGGATAGTTGCATTCTGTTTACCGCCAGTCGCGCGACAATGGCGTGACGGCTGATCGCATGCATTGTCATTGTTTGTCAAAGGGCGGCTGGACTACCATGATCGGCTGTCATTGTCATTATTCGCATAAGGCGAACAGACGGGTGATAACGTCTGGTGTCAACATCTATTACGGCATGGGTCAGGCAGGCGATGGGTGATTCAACTCCGAGCCCCCGAAGAAAGAATGGAAGGAAATCCGACCGGACAAGAGCCGAGCCGAACAGCGAAAAATCTGAACAGTAGTTACAGTTATGATTGTATTGTTTTAAATAATATTTCTACATGATATCTGAAGTTCCTTGGATATTTGCAATCACCAACAGGACATGACTGACTAAAATATTTTATTTGATGATAGCATTGTTCCACAGTACTTCACTAAGCGGGTATCGAAAGAAAGAGTACCTAACAAAAGCACTGAGTAAATGATCCATCTGTTTAGCAGCATCAGCATCACCATTTCAGGTGCCTGTTGTCACCGAACCCACGAACACACTTCATTTCCAAAATGGCGTACCTACTTCCGTCCAAGACAATCCCAGCATCCCTAAGAACAGCACCCGCTCGTCCCTCTCACTACATCTCACGTCCCTGAGGCCCCCGTTCGGAGTCCTCCCGTCCGCCCCACCCCGAAGCGAGTCCCTGGAGTCCACAGAGTCCCCGGCGCCGACCGTTATCGCGAGGGGCCCGGTGGTCCGTGCCGGAATCCGCCGCTCCATTTTCAAGGCGACAAAACGGTGTGCCATGGCGGCGGTGTCGGTCTTGTGACGGCAGCGACGCCCGCAACACCCGTGCAATACGGGAGGGAGGTAAAAAGGGAGGGTGGTATCACACAGATAGCAGGACACGGAATTTCATCTCACCGAGAGGGGAGACAGAGATTGCTGCGGATAATAATAAGAGACTGGTGCAAAAGGAGATGAAACAAGGGAGACCCGCCTCTTGGAGAAAAGGACGGACAGAAATGGCCAAATAATGAAGGAGACGGAAAAGGCTAACCCCTTACAAACACAAGCGAAACAGGGAGGGTCTTCTTATGCCTTCGGAGACGAGGGACGCCTTATGGTCGGAGAAACACAAACCAGCGGGTAACAAATCAGCCACATGGTCGCCGAGCCAGTAATAGCGCCAATAAATCTGCAACCCATTATTTCCAGAGACGGCCAATTACGAGGTCCAGTGATTCCATCATCTCAGGGGTCCAGCAGCAGCAGCCCTCTACGTAGCACCCCAGTACAGAAGGCCTTATGAAACTACTGTTTCGGGCTTCGGCAGGAATCGCCTATCATTATTACGCCCCACCATCACAAATTTGTGGGGAGTGACACGAGCCCATTCACTGACCCATAGGTGAACGGGATAGGGTCACGTGGATTCGGATTATGTCTAGAGGGGTTGATCAGGAGTTTAGAGAAAACACTTGGATGATAAGCTAAAATGTTTAACTTTGCTGGATCCAAATGCTGAAAATAACTGGTTTCTTCACGAATGCAAATTCTCCACGAAAGGAATGGTCCGAGAATATAGCGAAGAGCACGCATTCTTGAGTCGCCAATCGCTATAAAAATATTACTCCAAACACAAATTACCACAAAAGTACCATCGTAACGATCCAATCCTCTCACACCTGTCACCGGTCTCGACTACCCTCCGATGCCCTGCGACCTTCCGTCAGCCCCCCCCCCCCCGGATTCGCCGGAAGCCGGTGATGACCCTATTGAAAACGACGGCTGGGCCGGGGCGACGCTACTTACATCTATTGATGAGGTTCTCCGTGACATCCACTGAAGAGTAAGGCGGTCGTGGAGGCGGTGGCGGGGGAGGTGGTGGAGGAGGGGGCGGAGGAGGTGGCGGGTAGATCACCCGCGCCACCATGGCTCTTCGCTCAAGCATTCGCGCGGTGGCCCGACCTGACCCGACCCGACCCGGGCGGCAGGTCAGGCTAGGGGTACGACTGGATCCCACTCAGAAGTCACTGTGGGACACGTGGGACAGATACGCCCACTCGCGACCAGACACTGGTTTGCCGGCAGACTTGTCACTCAAAATCCAGCGCTTTGGTTTTCTGGAGCTCCGTAAGAGTCCAAAATCACACAACCACGCGGTTCTTGTCCAGGTTACCGATACGTCACTGAGCAGCTCACAGCTCGTTTCGATCACTCCGAGCCTTTGGAAGCAACGTCAACAACGCTTCTCCCCACACCGCAGCAGTACCTCAGACTCTTCACACTCACACAAAACTCTTCCTGCTGTTCCGTCTACCACAGCGTCACCACTCGCTCGCCACTGATCCCCACACACCGTCTCGAGCTCCAGTCCGACGCTCGCTCGCTCCGGTTCGCTCCGGCCCGCGCGGCGGCACGGCGATGACTGACGCTCGCCGTCGCCCGCCGCCGAGTCTCGCCCGCCCCACACCGCGCCGGTGCGACTCGACTCGAGTTGAGGGAAGCGACGAGCCGAACACCGGACCGTGGCAGGCATCCAGGAGGGCAGACGACTTGCGCAAATTTCCGGAGAGCGGACGACGATGACAGTCGCGGTGGGGTCGGAACGAGGGTGGGCGAGGAACGAGGTTGGACGAATAGAGGCGGAACGGTTACACGGGGAGGGGGACAAGGTGAGGAATGGGTGAGGAGAGATGGAGGGGAAGGAGAGACGGGTGGGACGCTTGACACGCTCCGTGGTGATGAACGGCTGGGAACCGAGGGGATTCCAACGGCTGGTCTGGTGGAGACCATAAATCACACATAACGAGGAAAACAAAAACGGAGCGCTATTCCCTGGATACAAACTGTCATACAAAGTCAAGCGAGAGAGTGATCAAATTTAGTCAGCATGAGTTAGAGTAAATTATCAGCAACGCGATTAAACTTTAAAATTTTCAGGTGGGTCGACACACAAATATAAATAACGTGATTTTTAGGTCAACTTCCAGCTGACGCGAACTTCAACTCTCGGAGGGCCTCATGTACGTATCGCTCGTATGTATGTACATGTATCGTCTAACTTTCAGTAGCACGGCAGTACGCTGCGATCGGTCATCAAACAGTGCCAACGGGTTCGTTCCCAAAGCATTCCGAGGGCAGGCCAGCGCGCGATTTTCCTTTGACACGTCTTCAGCATTGCAGTGTCATGTCGCGCGCCTCCCATAGCTTTATCGGTCGCATCCACTGGAGCTTTTTGCGGGCGATAAGACCAAAAACTGGGTTGATAGCGATGCGCACTGGACTCAGTTCAGTTGTGCACAATGTTGGCGCGATGTAATAGCCCTGGAAATCGGGCATAGCCTCACATTAATCAAATAATCACAACGACAAGACAAGACGAGAAGATATTTTCTGTTCAACATCAAAAGGCTGTAGCGATGGTGACGCCTCCAAGAAAGCAATCAATCTCTGTAAAAGGAACTGTGCTGTCGGACTTAGAATGGGATGAAAGCGTCGGATATTAGTGCTTACACACGCTGAGCGCTGAGAACAGCGTCCGTTTGGCAGTGCCCACGTCAGCTCCTGTGGCGGTACGAGTCTGTATACTCTACATACGAGTACCCGTGTGATCGTGGCCCGCCTAGCCGGCACGCGGGTTCCTAAAGCATACGTGAGCCAGTGCCCAGTATGACGGTACGTGCCCCATGCTGGCAGTCATGTAGACCCGGGCTGTATGGTGGTTTGTAGTGGGTGTGGGGGGACGTGAAAATATCATCAGTGGCTTTGCATGACAGTCGTGCTGCCCCTCGTGATGGGACGTTGGCGAGTACCGATCACATGGTACACTCGGGGGCGGATTGATGTTACACCACTCCCTACCCATCGGGCTCCCATGACTCAGCACTGGCTGCTGCCAGTGGCAGCACTGGCAGCACTAGCACTGGCAGGCAGTGCTGAGCAGTGCTGAGGGCAGGCAACACTGGCAGCAGCCACTGCTGATCCATGCGAGCCCGATGGGTAGGGAGTGGTGGAACATCAATCTGCCCCCCGAGTGTACACGGGTCAGGTCATCGGAGGACCTCCAACTGAAAACAAACATCTGTAGTGTATATCCAACTTCACATTCACTAGAAACATAAGACGGGTCCCCGCAGTGTGGCCCTCCCCTAAGAAAACACAATCCCAGCTCGCGGAAGGGACACCAGCGGGCAGCCAAGCGGCTAATCTTATCCGGAAGTGGAGGGTCGAGAGGACGGAAGGCAGGAACAGAGAGTGACAGGTCAGGGTCAAATGTCATGGCAACTGTGACATGGGTACCTCCATTAGTGGACACTGAACCACAGAACAGATACAGAAAAATGGGGTTCAATGCATTGACGATCGCAAAGTGACACTCAGTTATTCTTGCAATTTTATTGAAAAAGTCATGCATACATACCGTATGGCGGGATATTGCTTGACAACCTGGGGGCTGGCAAATCGAGCAAGTTGCGAGTTTTACTTCACGTCTTCAATAATGACTTTTTGTGAATTTAGCATCAATGTTTAAGGATTGACAAGAGCAGCAGCACACCCTAAGCAGATCTTGTTGTGCAGGGTGACCCCTATCCCCTGTCATCCAATTGGCAATTCTGGATTGAATCACAAAAATGTTTACCTCAAGGTTTAGTGAGCCTATCCAAGCTGGACATCATCCATCCAGTGCAGTGACTTCAACTGGCTGCTGTCGCTGCTCTCACCAAGCTTGCTTTGACCAGCTGGTCCATCCCATCAGTTCAGCATAGCTCTTGAGCATTAGGAGCTTCATTACTTTGAATGCTGGGTCACAAGGAAATCCCAGCTTAGGGTCAGGTGTCCAGTGCCCTCTCTTGCAAGTTGAGCATCAAGATCACTTGAATTCAATTCAGATTGAGATTAGCAGATGAGACGATTAAAAAGGGGGCCTGTGCAAAACATTCTTTTTAGTGTAGGATGTTTCTTTGTCCATTTGTTCATTTTAAACACCCCTGCAAACTTTATAAAACAAGCATTTATAAAGTATAACTGATTCAGCTTGAACTTACCTGAAACGTAGAATGCCGCCCCTGGCATGGTGACTATCTTGATCTGATCTTGAAGTTGAAAGAGAGTTGGATCTCGAAGAGACTGGAAGACTTGATAGTGAAGCTAGAAACTCCTACAAAGTCACGGGCACCTATCAGTACTGATAGTACTTGATAGATATGAGTCAATAGTGGTCAATAGATATGAACCTTGTGATGATAGTCCACTCTGACTCAAGCACTGGGTATCTGGGTAACGTTCAGCTCCAAAGATAGCAAAATCACAAGCCAGAAACACAACAAACTATGAATTAGGAATGTTCGGAGAATCCCTAGTTCAAATTAACCAAAAAAACTCGTAAATTCGCTTTGGAAATTCACACACAATAGAAATCAAGGCCGTAACAGGCCCATGTCGTCCCCTATCTCTCTGCGTGTCCACTAACACGAATGACGTCACGCATGTGGGCGGAGCTATGGGCGGAGCCTAACGCACGCGGCAGTCCAAGCCGCCATATTTGAATTTATATTTTAATAGAATCTTGCCGATATTTTGGGTGAAGTCAATTTATATGGATAGCTTGGTGACAGTTTAGCTATACGAATAATAATTTATTATGGATGTGCGTATATTCAGCTTGGAATCGCACTTAAAGTTCCGCACCGCATAGATTCGAACTCGGGACCTTTGGAATACTGCGCGGGCACGCTAACCACTACACTATCGCGACCGCGCGGCGGCCGGCGGCAGGGAGGCTGCGGAGACATGGGGGACATTTTACGCTTTTGTGAAAAAAGCAAATGATTTAGCGAAAAACACGTAATAGATAACTTGCAGAAAATTGTCTGCTCTTTCCGATAAGATACTTAGGTTTGATATATCTTGTGCAGACTTCATTCTACAGTGCTTCGAAAATCGCTCATTTACATGGGGATTGAACGGGGCTTCGAGACTTGACTCCAAATGACGTCACGAGCTGACGTCACGAAAAGGTAGAATCGCCGGACGACCCTACCTGGTATATAGGGCCTTGGGCCGTAATAGAAATTAGGCCGCGTCACAATTGTCGCTATCGCCTCAAGACAGGCGGACATCTTTAGATTCTCACGCCACCTATTGGGCATTTTGTCTACTGCTACATCTCGCGACGCCGGAAGAGTACACTACCAGGGCCTGAGAGCACAGGTGCGTCAGGTCCAGTCGGCAGTCACTCGATGATCATCACTGGTAAATCCAATTTTGGAAAACCATGAGGTCCTAAAACAATCGCTTGTGGCATGGCGCGCATATTATGGCATATACTTCGAAAAATCTACTTTAAATAGTCGCATTTCCCATAAGACGACGTCTTGCAACTGTCCCTCCAATCTCCAGATGCCACGGCCATCACAGATCCTTTGGCGAATTTCTAAATCTGCTGCTTGCATACAGATATTGCGCGACCGCTGCCACAGCAGCACATTCGGCCCCGGTCTGACCGGCAACAGTAGATTCGCGAATATCAATCTGCTGCTAGATTGACGGACAAAGTCAAGCCAAGCTGTTATTCCTATTCACCAGTATCCCTGATAGTGATATTCACACTCGCAACATAAAAACTGGGAAAACTGTATTTTCTGGCGCGATAGCTGGCTCGCCAGCGGCCAACTGAGACAGTGCCGGCCTGGCCGCCGGGGTACAAACACAACGAAACAAGCACACTCTCGCTCCGTCCGAGAAACAACAGAGACACAAACAGTCGAGATCAGCGGGCCGCTGACAGGCCGGTCAGCGTCCGGTCAGCCGCCGTCAGCGCCACCATATAGATTAATAAAACAGCAAAGGCTCGAGTGGGACACATCGGACGAGGACATGGCGTCAGTATGTTGCCATGGCAACCGCCGGCGCAGACTGGCGTGTCTGAACGCGAGGAAAATTAACAACGGATCGCTTCACGGCCGCAGACATATTTGTCACAACAATGCATGGTACACACATATTACGGCATCGAAAATCGTCATCGTTTTTGGGTTAAAGCCACCGCATCAATAAACATTCCATTCCACAGATAACTGTATGGCGCATGCTTCCCAACATGTTATCAATGCAAGCCTGGTGGCAATCATCAGCGAACACCATTTTGAACCATTGACTGGGCAGCCATGCAGCAGCCATTCTGCGTCTACTTTGTCGCCGATCCGTCACACTCGTCACCGCGACCAGCGCGGTGAGTGGCTGCTTCCACCAATATATACACATAGACCACATAATGCATACAACTCAGGGAGCCAGCCTGACCTCGACAATCACAGGGAGACAGAGGCGGGTGCGTCTGTGGGGGCGGGACGGTGAGACCCCCGGTACCACGACATATCCTGGGGAGTCACCCACCCAGCAGTGGACACAACCTGAGGACACCGGCCGGCGGAGACAGAGGGGTGGGAGGGCGGGCAGAGGGACGGGAGGAGCGGCCGAGTACCCCACGCCGCGGAGAGGGATACCCCGCGAGCCCCAGATGCCATCCGAATCACTGGCTGCCCATGGTCGTACTATCAAAGCACATGTCTCAATGCAGACTGGATGTAAGCGACCGTGGCATTGCGTGACCAGCACAGGTAATAGTACACACACATAAGGGGTAAACACATATTCAGGTGTTAATACACTCATATAATGTGTACATAGCACTACACAGTCACATTCAAGCACGCATAGGTATTTTTTCTTCCAAACGCGCACACATGCAGAGATGCCAGCATTCAGTTATGCAGCACGTGTCATTGCGACGCCCAGCTCTTTCACTCGCAGACTCGCTCACACCGGGTTGAACGCGATAACACTGGCCACGGCGGTCGCTCCGCGGCTCCATTGAACACAGGTTGGCTCGGAGCACAGCGCCGATCGAGGCGCATGCCCCCCCCCCCCCTCTGGTGGGACGTCCCCGCCCATCGCGTCACTCCCGATCACAATCACTCACATTTTGGTTCGCCTGATCTGTCTGAAACTCGACAAAGTCGTCGAACAGCGACGGCCACGCTTCTGTGTCATCATAGTCCGCCAGGTCGGGCCTTACCGCCTCCACTAGACTGAGGAACATGGACCACGTGTCGGCGGGGATGCCGCGGATCTGCGCGTGCTTCTCGAGGTAGCGCAGCCACGGCTCCAGCAGGGCCGGTTCACTTTGTGAGAACACCAGCCGCCACAGACTGATGGCCATCGGCGCCGGCAGGATCCGCTGGCCGAGCTCCGCGTCTAGACCGAACCGGAACGTGAAGTGGTACAAGTCCTTGAATTTGACCGGATCAGCGGCTACCTCGGCGGCCACCTGCGGTAGGCGCGCCTGCAGCGCTCTGATACTGTCCACTTTCAGCGAGCGGCAGCCGCCGACGAACTCGGCCCGGCTGAACCGGCACATGGTTTGCGCGTTCAGCCGCCACGCCAGCAACAGCACCCGAAACTCGTCCGGGCGCAGCTCGAGATCGGCACAGAGCCGCTCCACGCCGTCCTCGAGGATAGCGTCCTCGGCCGGGTCCCGATACACCTCGAACAGCGCCGCCAGCCGCGCGTCCGATACGTCCCGGGAGCCGGAGCGACGCGCCTCCGGACCGCCGCGCTTGGTGGTGACGCGGGGGAAGCTCCACTTGTCCGAGCGGATGGACTCCGAGGAGAGGACGGCGGTCGGCCGCTGGGCGGTGGAGGGAGGCGGCGGGGGCGGCGGCGGTGGTGGAGGAGCGCAGACTCCAGCGGTGATCGTCTCCAGCGAGATGGGTGCTGTGACGGGAGCCGAAACCTGAGGGTCTGTGGTAGGGAGAGGGAGGTTAGAGTGTCTGTAACGCGTGATGGAGGGCTAAGAACAGTTCTAATCTAACCGTGAGGTCTTGGTGGGATGATCAGCTGATGTAGAGCTGACCGACTAATGGCTAGTCAATAGTTCAAACAGGGTTGGCATTTTTGCCGGCAAAAACTAGTTTTTGCCATTTGCCGGTTTAAACCGGTTTTAACCGGCATAAAGTGGCAAAAACTGGCAAAAACTAAAACAGTCAAAACGCTATGCCTCTACATGCGTTTGAGCAGGACACGTTTTAAGTAGGATTCAGTCAATACAATATGCTTTCAAACAGAAGTGGTATCTTGACCATTTTAGTGTTAAATAGTTCCGTGAGTCCTCTATAATTAACCAATAAGGCGCCTTTTTGGTGAGACAAATGAGAAAGTGCGCCGGTGGGCGGCGAGTATTGAAGAAGTGGGAAAGGGCATCTGCCACTGACTTGTGCACCGGACCCTACGAACCGGTTCCTAACAGTGTCAATGCCAAATTTGTGCTTAGTCGACGTAGCCGTTCTCCCAATCTGGAAGCGTCACCCCGCACGTGCGCATGTGCAAAATGGACCCCGACCGACTATGCACGACACCCTACTAATCAATCCCTAACGGTGTCCCAATTTGAGCGCAATCGACCCAGCCATTCTCGAGGTCTGGTCGGAAACGACTCCTGCATATGCTCATGTGCAGAAGCACACCAACAGCGATGCATGAAAGTGCACTTCCTGGTGGACATCTATTGACTACCGACAGACATTTTAAAGGTAGTGTGCCACCTTTGAAAGATTTCCCATTTTATTTTTCCTAGGATAAGAAGCTTCTGTTTTCACCTAATATCACAAAAAAAAAATCAAAAATGGGCCTGGAATAGTGTCCTTTTCGCCTAAAAGTTTATCGGTTTTTCGATATGTATAACAACTGTAGTGGGCTGACCTGCAAACAGGCGTCGGCAACAATCGCGAATGCGGCGCACATGTGACAATAAGCAAAGGTCATTATAGAGTTACGACGTACGGGAATGAGTTATCAGCTGTCTAATCGTAGACAACACAATGTCGAGCCTTAAACTGTAAGCCTGTATTGGTATTGTTTCTTTTATTTGGCTGTCGAACATTATTTATGGTTTGAAATATGATTTTATGTAAAATAATTGATATGAAGAAGCCGTCTCTTAAGTTATGACCCCATTTCACCACACGCAAGTGGCAGAAATGACAATGATCAGCTGACGCATTTTTCTTGGCCGAAGTCAGAGCGCGCGGCCCGACGCACCACCACCGCACCACAAAGTATGAGCAGAAGCCGCGCCCAAAGCCAGGGCCCCGGTAACGTGAGGTAGCCGAGTCGGGGCAGCGTGCGCTGACCCAAGCCGAGGCCGCAGCTTTGGGCGCGGTCTACCGCATCCCCGCGGGCAGCCCCGGGCTATCACATGACACCGGGAGGACGCGCGGCCCCGGCTTGGGTCAGCGCACGCTGCCCCGACTCGGCTACCTCACGTTACCGGGGCCCTGGCTTTGGGCGCGGTCTACCGCACCACCTAACAGGCGTGTTCGAAACCGCAGATGATGATGAACGGGTTTATCGAAACTTGATTGGATGAGCATATCGGTAAAAGCGATTTCAGTGTGTGCATTTATTGTTCATAGTGGTGTGAAATGTGGTTGGGGTACGACCGACAACCCGTCGGGGCGAATTTCGCACTGGGGTACTCAAAATTTGAAGAATTTAAGACGTTTCCATGAGTTTTGAAGGTATGGATAAGTTCTAAAAATCCGGTTCTCCTTATCTGGGCCATTAACTCCATACGGTCCAGGAAAGCTGGCACACTACCTTTAAGCAGCGGTAAACTAGCGAGACAATGCTTACTGGGTCCCAATGACAGACATGACTTTGTATATTTCAACCGATTGCTTTTTAGGCAAGCAACGCAGTTTTGGCCACTTGAGTTTTTGCCAGTTTCTGCCAGTTTTTGCCACCATGGTTTCTGCCAGCCGGCTTAAACCGGTTAAAACCACTGGCAAAAACCAGTTTTTGCCACCCTCTGCCAACCCTGAGTTCAAAGTTTCACGGGTTTGAAAAGGAAGCCTCATTATGAGAGAAAATTCGACATTTCATTGATGATTTGCTCTGTGCTCACGACTTGCTCGTCCAAAATATAAAGAGGCATGCGAGATAAACGACGCTACTAACCCGGACATTGATTAAGACGGACACACATGGGCACAAGTACAAAACAATGGTGAGAAACATGCAAACCTAGTTAGTTCAGGTTGCTCGCATTAAAACACAAATAAAAACAACTATCTTCACCACTGATAAAAATGCATCATTATCCACCATTTCAGCCCCGAGTTAGACCACCCAGTTGCCACTGGTTGAGTCTGCAGTTTTTACTCACCAGTGATGGGGACGCCATCATATTTGTGTTTGGAGGAGCCGGGCCGGCCATGCTCCTCGTCTTCTCGACAGGAGAAACATTGGCCCATGGCCGCGGCGACGGCCGCCGCACCTCTGCCGCAGGACAGACGTCACGTCAGCACACATCGACACTGGACATGGCAACCGGATAAAAATCGTCCTTACAAATACCAGAGCAATGTAATATGGATAAGGTGTTTTTATATCCCTCGCCCGTATCGGCGTTTTCAAGGGCGGTAGCGTATACGGGGAGGGGAGGTTCGATCGCACGGTCCCTCCCAGTCAGCCCCTCATGGAGATGGAGCATCGTGGAAAACAACGAGCGCTTTGCCCGCGACAAGAAGGAACCGATGTGGCCAATGTTAGGGTCCTAGGTACTTGGTTATCCTAGGTCAGGTCATTGGCTGAAATGTTGGGAAAATAGGGACCTGTTAGAACAGGTCTTGTACCCCAGGGGCTTTCCATGTGGAGGTTTTTTTAATGCTTATTTCGAATTTTGTTTTTTATGGATGATCTATTCATGAAATTGGATTGGGCCAGGTAAGTTCAGGTCAGGTCAGTCATTTGGCATCCCACCAGCAATCTATAAAATGTGTTAACTGTCACTAACAGCTCCACAGCATGCTGCATTGCCACTGAAACTAGCTATCAAATGCTCAAATGAGTGTTCTAAACCAGCTCCACAGGCTAGTCCTAAAGTTGTTCAACTCAGGAGTCAAAATCTCATGTCAATAGCCTTGATCACTGACCAGGGCCCAATCTTACCAAATGCCGTGAATGTGCATTCACAGCATTTGGTAACATTCATAACTATTCCACAATCATTAATTCATTCATTCAGGCAACATTCTTAATCATTCACACCTTGAAGCTTATTCGACCAGATAAGCTGGACGTAAATAAAAATAAAACCGTTTATATTATTACCAGTAACTCCGGCCAGTGCTGCCATATCCTATTCACGGCATTGGTAAGATTGGGCCCAGATGTTAAATGTCATTTATGATGGGGACATGAATTTTGAGGATACAGGATAGGGGTGAAATTGATGAACTTGAGGGTACTAAAAAATGTTTTGTGGCAATCTACTGTTTATTACTCAAATTAATTTATTCAAGGAATCTGAGAATGTTCATCTGAAACCTGAACAGTGTGATTTTGTTCCATTTTTCAGAATTTTGGGTGGGAAATCAAACCTTAGGGGAAAAATATTTTCATCCCCAGAAAATCAGAAAAAATAGCAATCTTTGAAAACAATGTTCCATGCATCTGAACAACCAAGCTTCATGATAGTTCATGCATTCATATCTTTTATTTTAGATTATTTGAAGATCCTGACATGATACTAGACATAGGTATAATAATATAGGTATTTAATTTACTTCCTTCTTATCCAAGAATTTTTATCTCTTCAGGAGCACACCAAACCAAAATCAAATTCTAGAAAATTGGTTGAAACTAAGCACATTTGAGGTATTTCGCTGGTTGTGTGAACCCACTAAGAATACCTACCTATCAATGTTCAAAATGTGATATAGGTACAGCTTATTTCTCATTTCTGAATTAGATTGTTTTGCGTGTCCTCAGTTTGATTTCAGTTTCCCAGCTATCTGAAATTCACATCACTAATTGGCACTGATTATAGGACCTTGCTGCATCACAGGGTCAGGGCCTGAGTCAGTCAGGGAGAACAACAAATGTTTGTCATAGGTACCAGAGCAGAGGTTATGACACAAAAGACCACACAAAACTGAAACAGCATGGTAAAGGCTGCAGCCACAATAACTTCACAAAGTGGCCACAGGTTGTTACAAGCACATGCTTGCATGTTTCATGACAGTGGCAGCATGAATTCGGGAATCGACAATGCCCATCAAACGGCAATGGATTTTAGAATATCACAGTCAAGCTGCTGTTTATTTGACAGTTACGTGGATGCGAGCACATTGGCATCCCATTCAATCTCTGCTACAGGTATCTGCCAGCATTCCTGGCCAAGGTAAGGGTTACTGGTTGAGAAACAATGTTTTATTCTTAAGCTTTAATATATCTGGTTATCAGGCTTGAATTTGATTGAGCCATCAAAGCTTTGGAAGAAGGTCATTTAACATTTAACTCCCGCATATCATCAGCAATGCATGATAAGAAGTAAGAACCCGCTTCCCAGCTCGAAAATACAATAAAAATAGCACAAAATTACTAAATCGAGCAAGCAGGAGTACAAAGACAAAATGAGACAATCATGGCGCAGAACAACAGGCTCCTTTTGACACCTCTCTTCAGCAAACGATGAAAGCGTGACACTACCAAACACCTAAAACGATTCCACTTACACTTACTACAGAGAAATGCCAAGCGTGAAGGCAGGCATAATGATAATTTGACGCGCAATTATACTCCAGAACCCAAGGCCATCTATAGATGGCCAGAACCTCCCTTGCCCCCTTGCCCCACAACACAGAATTCTATTTCTATGGAAGCATTTTCCATATGGTAGCTCCAAAAGGGTAAAGGATTTTTGTGAAGGAATTTCTGATTGCCTATAAATACATTAGCCTGCGAGGCCCAAAAGTTCACGTAAGATGGCAGGCGCCAGGCAGCATATCAATAAACCAAAAGATTCCCAGAAGATACAGAAGTGAAAAAATGTCCTTCTTCTGGCCCTGCTCACAATACTCATCTTGCACGTTAGGCCGCTGGGTGGCTGGTTGGGCGGGCTGGGTGGGGAGTAGTACAGGAATCTTGGGCTGGCTGGGTGGCTACCTCATTTGGAAACCCATTCAAACGGAATTGAATTGGCTCCGTGCTCGGTCCCGTCGCTCAGACGTGAACTATCCAGTGGTCCGCACTCTGCGGGCCCTTACCTTCTCATCCCGCGGCAATAAACGGTCTCACTAGATTGAACAGGCTATACCCAGAAACACGTTGTCCGTAGGATTGAGCCGAGGATCGCTTGCAGAGTCACATCGGCAACCACGTATGAATCGAACTGGAGATAAAGAATGATACCATCCAATAGAATACGGTATGTCAAACGGTCGTACGTTTGCGAAGATGTAAGCCTTATAAGTGTTGCATGCAGCTGAGCCGAGCCCCGGCAAGGTCGGGCCGATTCTTGTTTCTCTCGACTAACGAGTTGAGCGCTTGTAGGATGTTATTTAGTTACCGTATCATAGAAAGCCGAATGGATATTGGGTACGCGGCCTACGTAGTATAGGTACAGCCCACCGCTAAAGTAATGTAGGGTTTTACCAATCGGTTGGCTTTGACTGGCGATTGTTTAATGCGGAGTGATCGAAAAGAAGATGTCAATAGCTAAAGTTGCAGCTGCAAGGGTGACGATATCACGATACATATAAGCTACCTACATTCAAAGTTTCATTGTAGTCTGGCTAATCGTTCCTAAGCTTCAGAAGCAGAAAATACCCATGACTGAAACCGCACATTACATGTACTTCTGCTGTGGACTGTACCTAGTACAACGATAGATACCTACACTGCACAAAATAGTTGCATTTACTTTCTCGACAGTAGATGCTCAATAGATTATGGCATGCCCACACATAGCTACAAATCCGAAACTGACCTAATCATCTGCGTTCGCCGTTTAATTCGCTTCGTTTCCAGAATGGGTGTGGTCACTTGTTTCCCATGTTCTGATAACCTTGGACTGGATGGTGTTTAGCTATTACCAAGTCAAATTGAATTAGGTTCTATCCAAAACGGTTGGTTGGCTAACATCGAAAATTTGCTGTCATTGGGCCAGAGTTATTGTAGGGCGGCAGCATATTTATATCGCCAGTGTGGCGTTAATCCTACACTAAGCTGCATTGGGTCAAACCTGCACAACATAACGTTACTCCAACGTAACATCAAAACAAAAACGTTACGTTACTCTGCCTGCTGAACCTTTCCGTTGAGGGGAAACGTCACAATCGCTTATTTCTCCCCTCTGATATAGGTGTAATGTAAAGACAGAGAGCCCCTTATAACCCTCTCCTATCATCCTGCTTCCTTTAGTGCATTACAAACACATGTACCTATATAAGAATGGCTCTGCCACAGGGTATCCTTGATTATGTAGATGAGTGTACGTACGACTAAATAAACCAGACCAATAGGTAAATGAGCTAAGCGACCCTTGTTTCTCGCACGGTATGAAACACCTACGCAGCAGCTCGGTGCAGCAAGAGGTTAATGAACACTGGTTTTAATCCATATTTATGCGGGGCCGTTAAATAAACATTCTCCCAGTCCTAAAAACAGACGCATAAAAACCGACGGTAAACCTGATATAGAGAGGGACGATGGAACAGGATAACATCTCGGCCTCTCCTGACCGGCGTTCTGATTGGCTGAGGTTGTAGCCAATCAGCGGAGGACTAACAGAGGGACAGGGAGGGGGGGACCGGACCGGGGAATTCCAGGTGAATCGCTGGAAGTGATCTGAGCTGGGAAGGCGGGGTGTATTTAGAGCAGTATAAAGTGGTGTGAGGTATATAGGACCGGTATAGTCCAAACGTCCGCTGTTCGTGATCGCTCTAGCTGCTGGATTCGGTAAGTCCACGCAGGTGCGCGAGTAAATTTCATGCGTTTTTTTTTTCAATTAATTAATAATATATTCTATGCTTTTAGTGATTTAATCTCGTGTAGTTAGGGCAGGCAAGTAATATCTCAACTGTAATTTCCGATACCGAAAAATTCGCTCTTTTTTGTCTTTTTGTCACATTTGAGCCATGCATCCGTCTAAAGTAATGAATGTGTTCACTGTTCAGCAAGTCTCATTCGAGTCATTCACCTGTTTCAAACGATCCACACATTCACCTGAGTCTCAACTGATTCCCCTCCGCCACAGCCATGCGTTCGCCCTGTCTGCTGCTCCTGCTGTGCTCTGCGGCGCTCGGTACACCGCAGCGTACCGTACCGCGCTGGACGGTACGCTCCTCTTCCGCCGGTCAGGGCCTCGGCTAACATGTTAACTACTGGGGCAAGTGCCCCAGTAGAGTCAAGGAATGCCCCAGTAGTGGTCAGGTTTTGCCCAACCTCCACAAAATGAGTATATCTCAATATTAACGTAGGTACATTCTTTCACTCGGGAGCAGTTGAAGACGTTTGTGGCAAGAAATCAGGGGCGGAGGAAAAGGGGGTGCATGGTGTGCAGCTGCACTCTCAGTTTTCATAAGAAAACATAGGCGTGCATTGGCAAGCATATCTTTTTGCATCCCCATAATCCAGAAGCTGCCCTTCGTTCGAAAGAGCGTCAAAAATAATGAGGAAAGTACTTCGGCGACTTTTTTGGTCAGGTCAAAGTTCATGTCCTGGGGGTCATTGAAGACCAAATTTCGCCGATTTTCAGGTCGAATATCGACAATTTGCAAGATGCCGGATCATAACTCGGGAACCAACAGAGCTATAGCGCCGCGGAGAAGCGCATTTGATAGCCATATTAGTGTTCTTTCTGAGTATTTCTCTCAGATTTGACTAACGTCAACGGTTTTCCCTGCAGGGGGCAAACATTTCCAAAAAAGACGATTTTTCGGGAACGGTTTTTCCTGCAATAACTTTTGACTCAAGCCTTGCACGAGCTTTCTTTTACCGACATCGTGTTAACTTCTCGTCAAGACGCATCAAATGAACTCTAATTTTACATGAAAAGACAACTTGAAAATTTGTCCTCAGGTAAAGTTCATGATCTAACCAGAAATTGCCATGTTGCATATCAGTGGATCCGTATCGTTGAGATGAACACATAGGGCGTTTTCATCGCTCTAGCATGCCTCTTTCAAAAGTTAGTCGCGAAAAACTGTTAGATACCATTCGTGACCTGAGATGACCTCAAGGGTATAAACAGGGGTCACGGGTGCCATTTTCATGTTCAGTGTGTCAAACCTACTTGTAATTCAGTGTTTGAGACTTGAGAGTGTTTAGAATGACTTTCGTCCAAAGGTGGTTTAAAATTGTCTCCCATTGACTTAAATACCTAGAGAGGTCGCAAAATTGACTGGTCACCAATATGAAAATTAATTCCGAGATAAAAATTGTGTACATGCTCTTGCTGTTATCGATCGCTGAAAGGGTCTAAGCGATCGGTCACTCGGTGTAGCTATGGCATATACCGAAACATTTTATGAGGAGTGACCTGGCCTTGAATGACCTTGGCCTAAAATTTTTACATGTGTAGGATTGGTTGATGATAAGACTTGTATTGACCTGGCCTTGAATGACCTTGGTCTGACATTTTTACAACATGTGTAGAATTGGTTGATGATAAGGTGTGCCGAAAACGGTGGCGCTCCATGCCGCCGTTTTTGAGATATTCGCGAAAAACAGCAATGAGAGGGGATGTTCAAACACCCCCTCCCCCAGCAGGGCGCGGGCTTACACACTTTTGCCCCAGTAGTCAAAATTCCTTAGCCGAGGCCCTGCCGCCGGTACACCGGGGTACCGCACCGGTACACGGCTGGGAGTACGCAGCGGGTTCAACCGCGTCGGCTCCGCGCCCGGAGCAGTGACGTCCTTCAGTTCGTTCAGTGGGGTGAGTGGTCGACGGGGGGTTATTTTACAATTTTGAAGTCAGGCAGGCTGTGGGCGAGGGTTAACGTCGGATATGTAGTGCCGTTAGTTGTGCTGCAACACAGTGTGCACTATGCAGAGTGCTGATGATTTATTTCTAAAGGTGTTGTTTCCGCTTCAAGGTGATGATAATGAATGATAATGAAGTTTATTGATCAGGTTGCTATAAAAAATGTGTTCGTGATTGGTAGGGCACAGACACAACCCTTAAAACGAGGCCAGTCTCAGGCCACGCTCTAAAAATAAAAACTATCAGGCAGAGCTATTAAATGAATATTATAATAACCTAGTTCGCTAATCGGCTGTCCTTTTATTAGGTTGCATTATGAAGTCTGTTTGTACGTTTTCACTTAAGGTAGTGTCCCTCACTCACCCCATCCACGCTGCACAGGTATTGCTAAATCGTATAATCGTTCCATCTAAAATGCTGCTAACCGAAATCACACCTCTTTTCGCAGGGATCTAACAGCGGTTTCAACACGTTCAACAATGGAAATCCACTAGGAGGCTTCTTCAACACCCAGCTGCAGAACATCCAAAACTCCTTCTCTCAAGGATCCTCTTTCAGCTCCAGCAGCTCCTCGTTCCCCTCTCGCGGTTCCTCGTTCCCCTCTCGCGGCTCGTCGGCTGTCTCTCGCCCCTCTCGTCTCTCGAACTCAGAAGATTCTGACAGTTCCGACGATTGAGCACCGGCTGCATATGTACAACTGTCGCAGGTCCTCGGGAAAGGAGATTCGAAAAGTTCTCAATGAGACTGTTCCTGAGGGAGCCGAGCGTTTTGACTTGCTATGTGGCGTTAGTGGGGGCATGACGATTAAATCGTTGAAAATAATTAAAATTATGCTCATCACTCGTAGAGGTGCTGCTGAAAACCAATGTGCTATAGATTTCGTCATTAGTTGTCATTGCATCGTGCCCACGACTCAAGGAGAAATATGTGTACCAATGACAATAAACTGGTTTCATCTTGATAGCGTGATAATGAATAATAATATGTTGGACAATAAAAGTATACTTGAACGTGAATCAGCGTTTTATGACATATAACCGTATTTTGTTAACGGCTCCGGCCTTCGGGTCAAGGTTAGGTCAGAACCTCTCAGGTCACGAGGCTGGTCAAAGTGAGGTAATGTCGGCTGTCGCATATCATCCGATCCGGCAGGTCTTGCCGAGTCCATTGGGCTGACCCGCTATCTCAAATTAATTTGAGTTATTGACAGATGCTAACATGACTCTATCGGCGTCATGAATTACAGGACGCAAGGTCAGCAATACAAAACTTAACTAAGATAGGCGATGATTACGGAGCGAGCGAAGCGAGCGTAGTCTTTCCTTAGATTAACGGAAATTTCTGAGTATGAGCGGCCGGCCGGCCGGCCGGCCGTGGTCACGCTTTTGCGAGGCTTATATCTCAGCAACCACTTGACCGATTTACACGCGGTAATTTTTGTAGGGTAGCTTCATTCCTTCTACCAAGTATTGGACTATTCCCGATGCATGTGGGTGACCCCTTATGCACGTGCCACGTGCAAAACGAAGATGTGTCACTTTTGTAATTGTTGCAATATCTCGGTAACTACTTGGCCGATTGCGCTGAAAGTTGGCATGTAGGTAGGCACCCACTAGGCACTGCATATACATGTGCCAGAGTTGGGGTGCTGCTGCACGTGCGCACGTGCAGGGGTCGTTTCCAGATCTCGAGAACGGCTGGACCGATTGCGCTCAAATTTGGTACACGGTTAGGGACCGGTTAGTAGGGTGCCGTGCACAAGTCAGTTGGGACCCATTTTGCACGTGCGCACGTGCAGGGTGCCGCTTCCAGATCTCGAGAACGGCTGGGCCGATTGTGCCCAAATTTGGCAAATCGCTAGAGACCAGTTAGTAGGGTGCCGTGCACAAGTCAGTTGGAGGTACCCCCTCGCAATTTCGCACGTGCAAGGCCCACCCTCTCGCTCGCTCCGTTAGTCGCCCCAAAAGGCGTTATACTGGTAATAAGTTGTTTACTAGACGAAATTTGATCTTCGATGACCTCCGCTCCGGTGGCGCTACCATTGATCTGACCCAAAAAATGTCCAAAGTACTTCCCCTATGATTTCTGACGCTTTTTCGAATGCCACTTACCACATGTCGCTACGTGGCCAAGCAGCCGAGTAAGACGGCTACGTTCAAGCCTCCCCCAGTGTGGGTGGCACCGAGCACCGGCCCGTGGACGAAGCGAGCTTCACGGTACCTAGGAAGATAAAACAAACAAACAAAAACATCGATAGGTAGTTAAGCATGCCTCTTTACTTTTTTATGCATTCATTTATTTACTTGAAGGGACAAACATAATATTTTTTATTCACGAGAGCTTGAGGTTAGTCTCACTCCCAGCAGCATTCCCACCGTCGGGGACTGCCAAAGGACGGACCGACCTTGAGTGACCTCCGCACCGGCCGTTCCCCCTCCCCCAGTGACCTTGGAAAGGGCAGCATGACGTCATAGACCTGAAGTGACGTCCCGCTCGTCTAATTGGAGAGATACGAAGAACCGGTACAGGGCGGGGCAGTGGTTCGAACTGTTCACTTCCATGGAAGTGGAGCCTCCTCGTGTAGGTACACGTATGTGGGCTGATAACACCAGGTAGTAAAGACTAGGGTGACCCGCCTGCTCCGCAAGCGAGGAGGGGTTATTTTGGACCTGTGGGTGTTGGGTTGGTTCTATGTTAAACGGTTAGTATACACTTCGCTCGATTCGTTTTCGACGGAACAAACATTTTTGTTATGAAAAAAGACGCATGTCACTGAGGTGCCCGTATCGGATTATCATACGTTCTACTTTGGAAGGATTCAAAAACTGACAGCAATGTAATTGAAATTTGAAAGTTGTGGGTCTCAGGTTAAATAGGTGCGTGTTCGGAGGAAAGGAAATTACCCACAATGAAAGAACAAAATAAACAGCGAAACGATGGTTAGATATGGGTTAAAACTGGGAGAAAAACGTGAGAAATAAAACTAGGAACTCGTCGAAATACTCAGCCTCTCTGACACTCTGCGTACGGACACTAAACTTATATTTTAACTGAGAGCACGTGCCAAAAACCATAGAGATCAAAAACGAACAGGAAGTAAACGGGGGCGGAACTACACAGCCAAAAATTAAAACACTTTTTTGCATAATCAAAAACGAATGGGGTATACGGAAACGGCGAAAAGTCAATCTAGAAATTACAACAAATTAAAGCAAGGAGAAATATGAAATACGGTTGAAATCTATAAAACAGAAGTGACGATAATAACGAATTTACGATAATATAAAAGAGGAAAACAAACGTTCTTGATAAAATAGTAAACATAGCGCGCGGCGGCGATCGGCGGCGCAAAGGCAGGCTGGCCGGAGGGCACGCCGCAGCTAAATTACTGGCGCTAGCGCGCCACACTGCTCCCCCTCTTAGTCGCGGAGCGCATCACTTACATCACAATTCACAAAAGGGGGCCTGCGCGGTGGTCACCAGTGACCCGGCGGCCGGGAGCGGCGCGACGGCGAGCGGATCGGCGTCCGGTGGCGGCGGTCGCCAGGGACCCGGCCGCCGGGTGTAGCACGGCGGCGAGAGGCTCGACGGCGAGCGGCTCGGCGTCCGGTGGCGGCGCGGTGACCAGCAGCTCGTCGGTCCGGGTCGGTGCGGGCAGCACCGAGTCCAGGTAGTGTCGTTTGCAGGTGTGTTGTAGAGTTGGTACAGGCGGCAGTCATCTTGGGCTGGCACGTTGGAGGCGAGCTGCCGGTGTCGATGTGGTGGCTGGCAAGCATTGGGCAGGCGTCGCAGGTCTCCCCAGGCTGGAACTGCTCCAAGATGGAGGGGTCGCTGGCACAGGAGAGCCTGGACTGGAGGTGGCTGGTCAGGACTGGTTGACCAGGAGCGCACCTGGTCTAGTCAATCAGCAGAGCTCCTGCCAGGTGCGGCTTGACAGAGGCCCCAGGAGGGGCGGCGGCGTCCTGCGCGGCAGGGTCGTCATCCTGTGCAGCAGGGTCGTGTCGGCTTATTGCTGGTCGCCTCTCTCGTCCTGCTGCTGGTGCTGGTTGACGGCGGGGGGCTGCTCAGCGGAAATGCGAGACAGCTGGGTTTGTCAGGCTGCACACGGGTGCGAAGACAGCACCAACAGCAGAAGGCAGGGCCAGGGACTCAGCCACAAGCACATCGTATGTGTCAGAGTGAGGCATGACGAGTAGGTAGGCAATGTCAAGGTTACCAACAAAAAGCACAGAAAATGACAACAAAAGCACAGGATATATCAACAGGTTAAACTCATCACTTCACATCACGTCGGGGTCACCAGAATGTGGGTCTCAGGTTAAATAGGTGCGTGTTCGGAGGAAAGGAAATTACCCACAATGAAAGAACAAAATAAACAGCGAAACGATGGTTAGATATGGGTTAAAACTGGGAGAAAAACGTGAGAAATAAAACTAGGAACTCGTCGAAATACTCAGCCTCTCTGACACTCTGCGTACGGACACTAAACTTATATTTTAACTGAGAGCACGTGCCAAAAACCATAGAGATCAAAAACGAACAGGAAGTAAACGGGGGCGGAACTACACAGCCAAAAATTAAAACACTTTTTTGCATAATCAAAAACGAATGGGGTATACGGAAACGGCGAAAAGTCAATCTAGAAATTACAACAAATTAAAGCAAGGAGAAATATGAAATACGGTTGAAATCTATAAAACAGAAGTGACGATAATAACGAATTTACGATAATATAAAAGAGGAAAACAAACGTTCTTGATAAAATAGTAAACATAGCGCGCGGCGGCGATCGGCGGCGCAAAGGCAGGCTGGCCGGAGGGCACGCCGCAGCTAAATTACTGGCGCTAGCGCGCCACAAAGTCATCGAAGAATTTCGCTAAAATATATCTTGCAATTGTTTGGAGCATGCATATTTTCAATGATGCTGAACTATTGATCATGCAAAAATGATGAGTGAGCCCAGGCGGTAAGCTTCCGTTTCCTGTCAAGCCTGTCCAGGGCCGTAGGTATATATGTCGTAGGCATCGGGTGAAATCCGGCATTTCATGAAATGTCTAGGCATTACATGGAATGCCGGCAAAAACTGAAATCTTCGTAGAAATACGGGCGTTACAGCGAATGTCTGAAAATTTTAGGCTTTTCATGAAGTGCCAGGCGGAGGCCGGGCACTCCCTGAAATATGGTCAAAACCAATTGAGTTCACTCGTTGCCTAGGCATTACATGAAATGCCCGACTGACGGCCGGCACTTTCTGAAACGATTACCGCAGCGAGAACGGACCCCGGACCCCGGGCCCCCGGTTGGATGGGGCCCGGACCTCTGGGAGAACGGGACCGGGCCTCCCGGAGAACGGGCCCAGGCCCCCGGGAGAACTGGCCCGGGCCCACGTGGATGGGTCCGGGCCCCGAAAGAACGGGCCCGGGCCTCCCGGAGAACGGGCCCAGGCCCCCGGGAGAACTGGCCCGGGCCCCCTGGGTGGATGGGGCCCGGGACCCCCGTAGATGGGTGCGGGCCCCCGGGAGAGCGGGCCCCGGGCCCCGGGTGGACGGGGCCCGGACCCCCTGGTGGATGGGGCCCGCGCCCCCGGGAGAAGGGGGCCCGGGCCCCCGGATGGATGAGGCCCGGGCCCCCTGGTGGATGGGCCCCGGAGCCCCGAGTGGACGGGGCCCGGGTCCCCGTGTGGATAGGGCCCGGGCCCCCGGTTGAATGGGGCCCGCTAGGGTGACCCGCTTGCTCCGCAACGCGAATAAGGGGTATTTTCGATCGGTGGGCGTTTGGCTGGTCTCGTGTCCGTGGATTATGTATCACGATCCGTGAAATATCTCGTAGTGTTAGCCCATTTTACACCAATACGATAACGTCTCTCCCCCTCCCGATCGCCGGCGTGTATATGCACACAACCGTCTGCGTACGAAAAGTTTTGTTACAGAGAGTGCCGGTCGTCTTTTGGGCAATCCATGTAATGCCTAGGCAAGGCGTGTACTCAGTTAAAGGGACCCTCCCACCTTCAAAAAAGTTAATGAATTGGCATGAAAGTGATGTCGCTCGGTTCAGAAAGAGCAAAAACGAATATGTACCAAATTTCATCGAAAAATATTCACCGGTTTTCAAGATATTAGACTTTTACTTTTGTTTACTTTTTGGGATCTCCGCTGTTCCTAGCGACTTTATTTGAAAGTGCGGCATTTGTTGCGCGCAAAGCAGCATATACCACCGCGTGCTACCAAACGTTTGAGTAAAAGATTTAAAATCGTTAGATCTCCGCTGACGTCACAAATTCTAAGGGGGCATACCAATGCATTAGCCCCTTAGAATCCGAAAACTGCAAGTTTGAAATTCGATATCTCCGAATTAAAGCATTTTTCGATGTTGTGAGTGCCCAAACCGGCATTTTCAGGCCATGGCCACCAATTTGGCTATCTCAACTCAAATCTAATGTTAAGGTGGGAGGGTCCCTTTAATTTTGACCATATTTCAGGGAGTGCCTGGCCTCCGCCTGGCATTTCATGAAATGACTAAAATTTTCAGGCATTCGCTGTAACGCGCCTATTTCTACGAAGATTTCAGTTTTTGCCGGCATTCCATGTAATGCCTAGGCATTTCATGAAATGCCGGATTTCGCCCGATGCCTACGACATATACATAGGGTCTTGTCTAATAGCATGGCATTTTGACACTGTACACACTGGCGGTCGCAGCCGCTAGCAAAAGGGGGGGGGGGGCAAAGTCACACTCGCGGGACATAACATTTATCATTATCATTATTATTAACCCTCGCCGGACCTATTGGTTTTCTACATACGCGCCGGCCGAGGGGGGGGGGCGGGTACGACCCCCCTCGCTGTTTCGCCCGTGGTGGAGCTAGCACGTCGCGAAAAAAAAACCAGCGTGTGCGCCGTTACGAGACGCAAAGATTGGTACCCGATTTTAAGGTCCTAGGTCAACCGGTGACCTCTGAGGTCAGGTCAAGTGCCCCAAGGTACGGTTCAGTTTTTGGTGAATAACTTCGCAACAAACGGCCGCAGAGCCGCGATTTTGGCAGCATCGTGTTCGCCTCGCTCAGGCGCGTCGACTGATATACTTTTGGTTCGGGTCAGGTCAACTTAGGGTGTTGACCTCAGGTCAAGGTCAGGTCAGCACCCCCAGGTCACGAAGCTGGCCGAAAGAGGTCATGTCGCATATCATTCGATTAGGCAGGTCTTCCTGAGTCCATTGGTGGCTTTTCCGACTGGCTAGCTCAATTTGATCGGGAGTTATTGACGAAAAACTAATATGACCTTGATGACGTCATAAATGACGTCACGCAAGGTCAACATTGCAAAAGTGACGCATCTAACCTTGCAAGGAGTGCATCAAATCACGATTCTGTGTGCTTGAGATAGCTGGAGATCGTTCCCGTTGCCAGAATAGCAGTTTTCATTTTTTCCCCATTGACTTATAATGGTGAGGTCACGAAAATGACCTGACCTCATATGACCCTTAGGAAAAATCCGAGATATACAAGTTGTGAGACTCATAATGGATACTAGATCCTGCAAGTTTCATTTCCCTGTGACATCTCCTCTGGCAGTGAGGGCGTTGCGAAGTTGCGACATCTGAACACCGTGCAGAGATTCACTTATGACGTCATAGGTCAGTGACCTGACCTGACCCAAAAATTTGGTTGGTGTCAAAAGATCCGGCTTGAATCAAAGGTCAGGTATGTCAAGTTTCAGCTCTCTATCGCCAGCTTGTTCGGAGCTATCGCGAAAAAAACCTATGGGGGGGGGGGGCGGCACCCGGCACCCGCCCACCCCCGGCCGGCGAGGGTTGTCTTCACGCTTCATGGCTCTGATCTGATTAAAATGACCTTTGATCTTTGACATGTTTATCAGGACCATTTCAGGCCGGAATAGCGTTTCCGCGTACATGCCTACATACGGCAGTCTTTTTGTGGTTGTTAACGTTCAAATGTGTGCAATTTTATTCGCTACGGGAAGATGGAGGAGGCACCGTCCTTTGGGGAACACCGCCCACCCCGATATCAGAAATATGAAAGGGTTTTGGGAGACAGCTGGCTGTCTTTTGGCAGCGTGACGTCAACAGAAGTGCAGGTATGGGCAGTGCAGCGAGTGCAGCGCATTGTTTTAGGTGATTTGCGAGAAATTCCGAATTTTACGTTTCGTGAATACGTTTTATACTTTTTGTAGCATAATTAGCAAAGGAAAACTTATCCTATTTGACAGACAACAGTCCTTAAGTGGTATTTTTTTTTTGTCATAATTAGGACTCATCCAAACATTTCGTGCTTCTGCTCGAGCGCTATTTTTGTCGTGCTGCCATATTGAAGGAATTTTTGGGAAAAAAATGCAGACCTTTGGGTAACACCGCCCACTTGGACGATTTGGTATTTAATAGCACATTGTAATACCTGACCCAGGAGTGACACATTTCAAATAAAGAAAGAACGCTAGCGCTATGTTTTCTTTTTTAGAAGATAATGAGAAATTTCGAGGAAATGAAATTTTGGGACTTTAAGTCGTCTAGTTGTATAAATGAGTACTACATTGTACTAGTGATATAATAAAATTGTTCCAAGTAAATTTTATGAATGTACTAAAACGCCTCGAAATTTACGATAAGAAGAAGAAATTAACAGTTCAGAAACTTACAAATTTCGTTGCCTGATGAGCTCAGGTGGTGTTACCCAGTGGGCGGTGTTACCCCGGAAAATGTAGGCATTTACTAAATCTGGAATAATGTGATTGCTAATTATGAACGAAACTACAAGAAAACAATTGGTTGATAGGTATGCAATATGCATGTAAAACTAATGCGATAATTCAATGAAACTGAGAGATTCAGATTGACCATATGGCCAAAAATTACGTGACTAGACCCTAAAAGGTTAAGGGGGTCGGTGTTCTCCCGTCTTCCCCTATTATGGTGGGCGTCAAGGTCACGTGAAGGTCAAACAAGGGTCACTGACCTCAAATGGCCTTGGGTCACTTTTTTGAATTTCAACTGTCTCTAGGGTAGTTTTTGGATCGCATTTAGAACTAAGCATCCATTCGATCATTCGAAAAGTAACCGGGCCCATACCTATGCAAGCATTTGTGACGGCCGGTGAGTCGAATTCAATATTCGAGAAGTAACCAATTTTGGTTTATATGTAACATGTAATGAAGGTGTCAGTGGTGGTTGACACCTAGTATGTAAACCGGCAGGACGCCCACTGGTTGACCTGACCTGACCTGACCAATCCAGATTACATGAATACGTCACTGGTGATCAAAACTAACATCAATTTCAGGACCCCGATAAACCGTATCACAACTTAAGTATGCTAAGTTTTACCAGGTCCCGATTTCTGCAACTTTTGGGTCATTGACCTGACCTGGAAGGTTGCAACCAATGACCTAGGACCTTAAAGTTGGGTATGATCGGCTTCCTCTCGTCACGGGCAGCACGCTCATTTTTGCGCGAAGCTCTAGTCCGATCAGTGGCCGAATGGCATTAGCGGCTGGCAAAACACAAGTTCGGGCGAGGAAAATTCATTTAAAAAAAGGAAAATTTTGAATTTTCCTTCATTCAAAAAGAAGGAAAATTCAAAATTCATATTGTACAAAAAAATACCACTTGAACGTCAGTTTTACAGTTTTTTGACCCTTAGAGGCTAAGCCGTTGGCCTGAAGTCAAAACCAAAAGATTCAGAAAGCTTAAAAAAAAAACTATGGAATGCGGTTTTCGGCTACGCTGTAGATGCATTGGATCCTAAATTATGGGCCGATTTTTTTCAAAAAATGTCGAAAAATGGGCAAAAAATGGCATTTGATGACCTCCGGTGACCTGACCTTTGACCTGACCTAAAAGTTGAGTGAAGTACCTACTTTCATGCTTTTTGATACTCTTTCGAACACCGTCTATGTACGTACATACCGCGTGTCACTATATCGTCATGGCCCAGGGGCCGAGTTACAAAGAAGAATTAAAACTACAAACACCCCCACCCCCTCCGTCCGGTTGGGTTGGTGCTGAAGCTCGGGACGATCTGAAAGCAAATGAAGAAGAATAGCGAGAAATAGGAAAGACATCTATGAAACTGTAGCGTCGTAACAGTCAAACTGAAGCGTGACAACGGAAATTCCCAGTGTATCGGTCTCTGATCACCGCAGGTTCAGCCGGGTTCCGAGAGTCCGACCCGGGGCCGCTCCATCTGAGCCGTCCTTCTGTAATTGGACCGGATTTCGAACTCGCCGGGGACCGGTTTTTAGTCGACGGGAGGACCAAAAACCGCCGGCCAGATTCACCGTACTCCGCCCGTCTGGGTTCCCTCGGGGGATGATCTGGTCTTCCCCGAGAGAGTGATGTCCAGGAGTCAGAGGGTCAAAGGCCCACAGGAAGCCTGGGGCAAGAATACGCCCGGTATATAACGATGAGCTCAGAGAAGAGACGACATAACTCATAGGCATACAGTCGCCGAGGTGTGTGGCTATATCTGCATCTGCTGTATAGGTACGCATCTTCAGTCTTTACCGGGTAAGTTGAGCCAACCCAGTCTATTTTGGATCCGGATACTCCGGTTCCTTTATTCTAATTTTGGGCTTGTTGCGCATTTAATGAATTTGTGTTTCGTAACCATGCCTTGGCTTTATTCGTATTTTGTAATCTGAGTTGATAAATAATTTATGGTAGGCACCTAAACATATTACAACTGCTCACTGGCCTGTGACTTCAGATGCTACACTGAAAACAATTTCACCCAAAACTGGCGAGTAAACCGGTGCCTCGCGGGTACCCCTATCCGCAACCATTTTTAACCACCCTGCCAGGAGTCAATTTAGAACATAACACTTTCGCAATTCACTCTGGAGAGTAGTTACCCTCCACGACTATTCGCGCACCAGTGGCTCGCGACCCCTCCATCGAAAGGTATTCATCGACGCCTACCTGGCAGCAGCGCCCCACAAACCCCTAGGAGATGGGGTTACCCTCCACGCCTACCCGTCGCCGACCAAGTCACGAGGGCCAAAAAAACTCCCACGCTTGACCATATTTGCGGGAAAATATCTATATTATAGCAATCTCACACCTAGAAAACATCGGTGAGAAAGTTTCATATCGGTGGGAAAGGTCAAATCGAATTCCCATAGAAATTTCGACATAACTCAGTCACCGGCAGTTATTCAGACCGCCCGAAATCAGAAAGATGTGTCGCCGCTGCTTTCGTGACCTATATAAGAATCAAAATGGTCTCACTTGGTAGTTTCGGAAGAAAAAGCGTTGCCAATCGTCCCGTGATGAATATTGCAGAGGTTTTAAAGATGCACCCTAACAATTGTACTTTCGCCCCCACTTGCAAACCGCCAAACAATGTGCCAACATATCATTGGTTCAAAAAAAAAGTTAAAAAATTGTTGTAATTCAAAACTGTATGAGACAACGCCATCTAGTTGTAACAGTAGATCCAACTCCTTCAGGGCAGGTTATGTAAAGGTTCGCCATCCACGGATACGCGTTTACGATACCTCGAGTAGTTCCAACTCTTTCAGTGAGGGCTATGCCAATGACTCGACACCCGCGGGGACAATATCCGGTGCTGGGTAGCTACCTAACTGCAAAATGTGGGTACAGTGCATATTTACGAGTAATAAGGCAGACAAGTCTGCTTACCCTCTAGCTAGAATCTGGACATGGCGAGTTAATACACATATACCACCCGCAGAGCAACGCTTAATTCGCCAGCTTCGGGTGAAATTGTTTTCAGTGTATGACCTCTCAGATGACCGTTTGTGACTATCACTCTCTCCCTGGTCCGCAACACTACAATCACCCCTCTCGCACTCACCGTGACCCGTATGTACAAACCCCCTGCACGTTGCCCCTCCCTAACTCAACCCGCACCACCTCTCCCAGGAAGCCATGAAGACCGCTGTGCTCGTGCTCTGTGTGTGCTCGGCGGCGGCCGCCGCGCCGCGACCCTTTTGGCCCCGCTGGGGAGGCGGAGGAAGTGCTTCCGGCAGCGCCAGTGGCAACGTGGTGTCCGGCTCCTCGGGAGGATTCGGTGGAGCCACACGCATCACCTCCGTCAGTGCCTCTGCCTCGGTGAGTCGGGATCTCCGTCAGTGCCTCTGCCTCGGTGAGTGAGTCGGGGTGGCAGAGTGGTATGTCGTGATTCGATGTCCTCGGTAGTGTGCCGGTCCCGAGTCCTTGGTCGTGCGCTTGGGTGGACAACCGCGGGACGTTCAAACGGATATCGGTGGTGTCAGGTGAACTTTATGCTCGTCGTGAAGCACATATCTCCGTGAAACGTTGTACTTACCAGGCAAATGTGTTAGTTAATCACTTTCTCTTACGTGTATGTGTGTGTAGGTGAGGTCATAACAACAGCATATTGCTCTCTCTCTCTCTCTCTCTCTCTCTCTCTCTCTCTCTCTCTCTCTCTCTCTCTCTCTCTCTCTCTCTCTCTCTCTCTCTCTCTCTCTCTCTCTCTCTCTCTCTCTCTCTCTCTCTCTCTCTCTCTCTCTCTCTCTCTCTCTCTCTCTCTCTCTCTCTCTCTCTCTCTCTCTCTCTCTCTCTCTCTCTCTCTTTCTTTCTCTCTCTCTCTCTCTCTCTCTCTCTCTCTCTCTCTCTCTCTCTCTCTCTCTCTCTCTCCCTCCCTCTCTCTCTCTCTCTCTCTCTCTCTCTCTCTCTCTCTCTCTCTCTCTCTCTCTCTCTCTCTTCCCCCACCCTGCCCTAACCACACCATCGATCACCAAACCATCATCTGACATTGACCTCCCCCTTTTTCAGGGATCAACCAGCGGTGGCGGCAGCAGCCGTAACTCGGGCTACGCCAGCTCCGTATCGGGAAACGGTCTGTTCGGCAGCTACAACCGCGCCAACACGAACGCCCAGTCGGTTCAGAACTCGTACGGCAGTCGGTTCCGCTTCCGCGGCTAGCTGCCGCTGGTTGACATCATGAGTTTCTTGTTGACCAGCTGGCGTTTTCTTGTGTCGTGAACGTGGCGCAGAGTTGGCTCGGCGAAGTGGAGGAAGGAGTTAGTTATTGCTGGCGACTGATGACGGTTATGTGGGCGTGGTCGCACATTTTGTCGTGGTCTGTGTTAAATGTGGTGAGTTGTCGCAAATCACGACATTTAACGACATCCCTGTTGCGACGAGAGTAGATGTCAAACGCTGAGTTTACTGGTCATAATTTGACAGGAGCACATGACCCCAACCCAAAGACTTACATGAGCGTTATCAATTTGTTCATTGTCTCGTCATTCTCCATAGAGAAGTAGCTAGTTAAATAAATGTTGTTTTTTCGCGTTCGCTTTTGTTCCTTGTATGTTTCGTTTATACGTTCGTCAAGTTAGATGTAAGCAAATCCTAATATAATACCTATTCGGAGTCGGGCGAACCCATCCGATCTATCGGATTTAGACCAAACCTGGTCTGTTTTACCGCTAACACTGCTATCAGTATATCACAACATGATACGTCCATGGGGCTCATGGCGACACCTCAAACCAAACCTGGTCAATAGAAAGAGCGTCCACTCCCATCCTGGTTATTCGTTGTGCACAAAATCTAATATCAGTCCGCTATATATTTCAAAAGTTACGGAGGTTTGAATCTCCCATTAGGTAGGTACAACCTTAAAATGCAAGACATGTCAGCTCGCGTTAGCTTACACATTGTGGCCAATTTTTTTCCAAAGACTATGATAGATTGGCCGCAAATGACGTCAGAGTTACGTCATGTTCTGCAGTTTTCGACAAAAAAGGTTTCGCGGGAAGAGCTGTCTGGCTTATAGCTTTGAAAATACAAAAATATATTTAACACAGAAAAGGTGTAGAACTAGCAGCGCTACAAGTGGCTCGCTACGCGTCGCGTTGGCCATAAAATGATTAAGGAGAAAATTTGGGACCGATTGGTGTTCGTCCCGTGTTGATCGGACGTCTAGAAGCTTAGATATTCGCGAAAGACTTGTTGAACTTGCCAAAATACCTGCCAGCTTGCTGTATCACCTGCTACTTGGTAATGTACTGAAAACTTGCTAATGTACTGAAAACCTGCCAAAGGTATTTACTTGCCTAAATACCGCAAAGAACTTGTTCTAAAATACTTGGTATTAACTTGCCTAAATACCGCGAAAAACTTGTTACTTTCTGACGTTTAAATCAGACGGCTTTAGACGAACAATGATTCCTGGAAACTGCCTTGAGCTCAGATCGCTTCGCCGTATTTTCAACGAATTGCTTGCAAGTTGAGTTGATCAGATCATGCTTCCAATTTCAATTGTGTTTCACCTACCTATACTTCCCCACTTGCCTTACGCGTCCTTTCTGTGAACGTTTCTGTGACTTGAATCACAGAAACGTTCTTTCGTTAATTTATGATTAATCGATTTTAACTTGAATTCTGAATAAAGTAAAACAGACAGAATCAGAATATTGAAGAATGACAACAGCTTCTCGATGAGACGAACACAGTGGTGGCCGAAATTTTCCGATATACCTATCCAAAAATGAAGATTTTACCAGTATAACGCCTTTTGGGGCGACTAACGGAGCGAGCCAGAGGGTGGGCCTTGCACGTGCGAAATTGCGAGGGGGTACCTCCAACTGACTTGTGCACGGCACCCTACTAACCGGTCTCTAGCGATGTGCCAAATTTGAGCACAATCGGCCCGGCCGTTCTCGAGATCTGGAAGCGGTACCCTGCACGTGCGCACGTGCAAAATGGGTCCCAACTGACTTTTGCACGGCACCCTACTAACTGGTCCCTAACCGTGTACCAAATCTGAGCGCTATCGGTCCGGCCGTTCTCGAGATCTGGAAACGACCCCTGCACGTGCGCACGTGCAGCAGCGCCCCAACTCTGGCACATGGATATGCAGTGCCTAGTGGGTGCCTACCTACATGCCAACTTTCAGCGCAATCGGCCAAGTAGTTACCGAGATATTGCAACAATTACAAAACGGATACCTCTTCGTTTTGCACGTGGCACGTGCATAAGGGGTCACCCACATGCATCGGGAATGGTCCAATACTTGGTAGAAGGAATGAAGCTACCCTACAAAAATTGCAGCCAGCAGCGTGTAAATCGGTCAAGTGGTTGCTGAGATATAAGCCTCGCAAAACTCAAAAGCGTGACCACGGCCGGCCGCTCATACTCAGAAATTTCCGTTAATCTAAGGAAAGACTACGCTCGCTTCGCTCGCTCCGTAATAAGGTACGGGGACTAAAATTAACGTTTAAAGTGACCTTGACCTTGAACTTTGACCTTGACCTCGGATTTTGTTGAATGTGCTACTGCTTCTCGATGAGACAAACACAGTGGTGGCCGAAATTTTCCCATATCTCCAAAAATGAAGATTTTATAGGGTACGGGGACTAAAATTAACGTTTAAAGTGACCTTGACCTTGACCTTTGACCTTGACCTCGGATTTTGTTGAATGTGCTACTGCTTCTCGATGAGACGAACACAGTGGTGGCCGAAATTTTCCGATATCTCCCAAAATGAAGATTTTATAGGGTACGGCGACTTCTAAAGTGACTTTGACCTTGACCTTTGACCTTGACCTCAGATTTTTTTGAATGTGCTACTGCTTCTCGATGAGACGAACACACTGGTGGTCGAATTTTTCAAATCGGACCATAAACAAAGATTCTACAGGGTACGCAGTGTTTTGACCTCTCAAGGTCAAACGGTTTGACCTTGGAAAAAAGGTCACCATTTTCGAACTCAGCGTGCCATGGCCCATGGGCTATCTGTATGCCAATTTTGAGCGAAATCATTACTCGAATTTGAATCGGAATACGAATACGACGCTAACTTTATGGACATTCACGCAGTACCATCTCCATGTGTACCATAGCAGCTGGTTAGCAGAATTTTGGAGTATATTAGCATGGATGAAGGAGAACCATCCATGGTTCTTTCATCCATATGATATTAGTATCATTAGTACTTTGCAATCTGAACCTTCCACCAATTTTACGTATATACGTGACCGGGGAATTTATCGCTAACCTCAACCTTGGCGGTCAGGTTTTGAACTTCACAAGAAACGGCTCGGGCTAGTGCGATTTGATCAAGGTTCGTGAAATTTACACGTGACGTTTGGCATATACAAGGCCCATGGAGCGGGAGAAGTTCCAAATGTCACGTGACTAATATGCCCTCCGGCGCCCTGTTTTCACCGGCGTCCTGTTTATTGGGGCTCTCTCTATCGTCTGGAGGTTTCGAAAGATGCTCTCCAGAGATGGCGCTAGTAAATTTGGCTGACATGACGTCATGCTAAAAAGTGATGGGTTTTGTGAGAGCAAATGTAATAATAGTTGAAAATTTTGTGCTTTTGCTTAATTAAGAAAAAATAAATATACAATTGTTCAAAACAGCGTTTTCCTCATTCATCCTCCATTGTTTTAAGAGGAATATAGACAGTTAAAATATTTTTTCTTGACCGCAATTCGCACACGCACTAAATTAAAAGCTGGAGTTTTGTGCGTTCGTAAATCGTGATTTGAGAGAATAAGTTGACAATAATCTTTTGCACTTTTGCTTTACAATCATTTTTCAGTGCAGATAAATGCATAAATTATTCGAAAATAGGCATATCTTTGAAATATTATGATTTTCCACAAGCAAATTTTCCCAAAAACTTGAACTACTTACAACTGACGAACGCATCCAATAATCTGGATGTCTTAGGATGAGTTCGTCATTTTTTTTCCAAGGAAATACGATACAGTTCAAGCTACTTTACCGATTTATTAGGGTACTTTTGCCAATGAATTAATAAATAAATGACAACAATCAATCTCATTATCAACCATACTCGGAAGAATTTTCTTCGCATAAGCGCGAACACATCCGCGCTTTCATGAAAAGTCACGCCTGTAGATGTCAGGACTGCTGCTTTATGTTTCGTAAGGTGGCGCAGCGCGCAGGGTACCGACTACCGAGGCTGAGGTCTCCAGACTCTCCACCACGATTTAACTTGGAAATGGCCGATGGGGAAGGTCTCACCCAAAAACGGACGCCCTTTTACACAACTGCATAAAGAGAATGAATTATTGGCATAGCTGACCACACGTCCCCTCCCCCTCTCCGCCCCAGCTCAATAGGAAATATCGCCTATTTTCCTTAGTCAGTTATATTCTGACTAATTTCTCACTCTTCCCAGTAAACCTTAACATGCATGATGCAGATGTCCACTGCGTAAGTCGTGTGCTTCCGTAAGTGTGCCAACTATATAGTGTTGCCTACACTCTACAGTGCCTACTGCTTCCCCATTGTCGTTATAATTGGTGATTCTCAGGTCAAAAGTTACACAGTGGTCTCAGAGAACAATCGTTTCAACAAATTAACGATTCAAACCGTTGCATTCTACTGATATTCCGGTCAGTTCTGCTACTAAACGATTCCGGCAAAACACTCTTTAGGTTATGTATTAGCGAACCACCACACAAAATTCGCCCAATCAATGGTCAGTTATTACTGCTGGGCTGAACCGTCATACGCTATATAGCCTATTGCAGTCAATATTTTCAGAACGATACTGACTGACGAAACACAACGTATTCGCGGATTCGCACATACGTTGGCACCCAGGTGGCCTGTCAGCAGCCGCACAAATCCGCACAGCGCAGCCGGGATTTGACATTGAGATGGTACACCGTAAAGCATGCCTTTCCACACAGGCACAAGCACAGGGACACAAATTCTCAAAATCCAAACTTATTCCAATACTGGTCAATTACGAATAGGCATAAAGTTTTGAGGTTTTCTCATGTTCATTCTTCTTTCAACACACGCGGCAGACTGCAGCAGCTGCAGAACATCTCACAGAGCTGCGCTGGATGCAGTCATGAGCTGGGACACGGTTTGTGACCAATGACCGATCGGGGGTGCCAGCCTCCTCCCGGCACGCGATGCACTGGCCGCCGCGCAGTCGATGTCGGGGCACCGCCGGCATTCGCCGACAGGGTTCCATCCGATTCGGTGTATTGGTGGCAGCCCGAACAGTGACCCACCCGAAGCTGGCGGACGTCGATGGCCGATGAGCGATGCCCTTCCGCGACCGGCGGTGGCAGTCGGTCCCACATCAAGAACAGATACCAGTCAAGCGGTCAGTCGGCGACGGCGCTGTCGCGAGCCGATCTGATGGTCGCGCGGTGGGCGTTGCCGACGTCCACCGGGACCGTCGACTGGGGGAGCGCGGCCGCCTCTTGGCCACCGCCTCTGGTCGGCGAGCTCGTTGCGCTGTGGGACGGCATCCACTGCAAGTCGTTCACTGTGAAGCGGTCGTTTGACCGGACCT